TTCATCCCTAAGTGCTTACATAACATCTTGGAAGAGAAGACAGGAAGAATGTAAGAGGCAGGCAATGGGGGCCAGGGTTGCTCTGAAAGCTGACTAGACACTACAGGTCTACTACCTATATGAACACAGAGGATGCAGTCACCCACAGAAGACGTCTGAAAGAGCAATGAGCGTTAACATTTCCAGTGGACAAGAGAGAGTTTCATGATACCCAACCCATATCTGAGGGCTCAGTGGCAGTTGAAGCTGCTGAGAGCTTGAGGAGTCACATTTCTTTGGGTTGAGGGAGGCCACCAGTAGGTTTCTCATACTCCTGTGGGTGAACTCTTTCCTTTACAAACAGTCAGCACTGATTAGACTTATTGGATTATTTTTTTAAAAGGTAAAGTGATAGGTTTATATTTATGTTTTTTTAATTTTCTATAATAATCATTTTGATTGACCCAACCCATTGTTTCACAGGGAGAAAATGCATATTCAAAGATGCTAATAATTGAAATTATTGAATATGTCAGGGGCAGATCAGGGAAGGTTTCTCTGCCTCATATCATATCCCAGGCTAGCCTAAAATTCAGTTCCTGTCTTAATGCCTGGATTATGTCTTGCCCTGCGACACCGAACCCTGGTTGTCACTTAACACACTTTCAGTATATAATAAACAATATAATTATAATATAAGTTTATAATATTAAAATATATAAGACTAAATTTTTGATCAAAGGAATGTAACTGTTTTGGACTCATTCTTGTTTGTTGAACATAAAACCTCAGAAATTTAGTCATTATTTTTTAATTATTTAGAATAGAACCACAAAAGGATACAAAAATTTTACAAAGCAAAAACAGTGCAGTGGTGATGGTAACTGGCATTTTAATAAGGGACACAGCGAATAAACGTGAACCCTATGTGTCCAGCTTGCGTTTTCTAGAAACCTAAAGCTTTTCTTTTTAAAATGCCAACTAAAAATAACTCCTAATAAACATGGGTGTAAGTCACATGTGTGGGTGTAAGCCGTGTGTATGTGTGGTGTTAGCCATGTATGTGGAAGTCCCGTGTGTGCGTGTGTGTATATGTGTGTGTGTCTGTGTAAGTCATTTGTGTGTGTGTGTGTGTGTGTGTGTGCAAGCCATGTTTGTGGAAGTCGTGTGCGTATGTGTGTGTGTGTGTGTGTGTTTATGTGTGTGTGTGTGTAAGTCATGTGTGGGGGGTGTTAGTTACACATGTGTGGGTGCCTGCAGGCAGAGGAGGCTGTATGATCTCCTGGAGCTGTAGATACAGGTGGTTTTGAGTCACCTATTTTGGGTGCTGAGATCAAATCCACACCCCTAAGAGAGCAGTAAGCACTCTTAAGCATGAGAGAGATCTTCAGCCCCAAAATTAGTAATTTTGATTCCAGTGAAGTTTAAGCAAAAACTGAAAAGCAACTGTTGATGTTCAAATGAATGGCAATACAGTTATGAAAGTAAAAGATAATTGAGAAACTTACCTAGAGAGATATAAATATTCAAGCCATAATGACAGAATATACATTTGATCCAGGTATACATGGGTCATGGGAACAGATGACAGAATTCAGAAGCCAATCTATCTTAACACAGGCAGTATTTTTGCTTATTATGAAGGGGCTATTGTAGAATGTAGAGATGACCAAATGGCTAAAAATAATTCTGCTTTAATTGTTATAAGGTGGGACAAGATGAGGCTTGTCCATTTTACCACATTGCATCCATATATTTATCCTAGACAGAACACAGACACAAGTTAAAAATGTAGAGTAATGATGCTCCCAAAATAAAATTAGGAGAATATATTCTTGATGGCATTAAAGCATGTCAATATACATTAATAAAATACACACATGTCAAATATGAAGCCATGATCTATTAATTAGGTTTTACTAAAATGGGGTGGTACTGTTTGTCAAAGGTTATGGTTGAAGATAATGAAACTGTATGCTACATCTTGGCAGATACTGCCTGACAGTCATGTATCCAGCAAAGACTAACATTCAAAATTGTAAAGAATTTCTACAAGTTAATAAGAAAAAAGGCAAATCATCCAATCCAAAATTGGCCTTCAAAATCCATCCTGAGTAGGTACTTCATAGGAAAGCATATTTACATGGCAAACAGGTACATGAGAAGCTCTCAGTGTCATTAATCATCAGAAAACACCCACAGGCCATTTGGCAGTATCCGGGCAATGATGTTGGTGAGGGTGTTGTGTCACAATACTTGGTGTTACTAATTGCAATATTCTCTTGGGAAAGCTATTTAGAATTGTTTTCTGAAGCTATTGATGCTAATATACACATACTACTAAATCTGACACGGACAATTTGAGTGCCAGAAAATTAAGAGCACTCACTGCATATCTGCATAATTCTTCAGAAACAGACAACAGGTGTCAATAGTGGTAGGGGTCTTTCATGAACTGTTCTGTACAGGCATCCACACAGAGCACAAAAACATAGTGTTATTTACCAAGGAAAGATCTTTGTGACAGTGGAAATACTCTATCTACATTTTCACATGAGAGTTACAGAGGTGCATACAACTATTGAAAGTCACTAAGTAGGGGCTAGAGGCATGATTCATTAATTTAGAGTACTTTTGTGGCTCTTCCAGGGGACCTGAGTTCAATTCCCTTATTCTACTGCCTATAAACACCCATTAACTCCAGCTTCTAGGGATCTGATGTTCTCTTTTGGCCTCTGTGAGCACCTATACTCAAGTGCACATACCCACCTCACACATATTTTAAACAATAAAAAAAAAACTTAAAAAAAACGAATCATCAAGTTATACCCCTAATGCTTATATTCTATCTTTATGCATTTTTGACATGAATAAAAAAATTCAAGGAATATTTCCACATTTAAAACAAGTTATCAAGCTATCTAAGAAAAATGGAGAAAACATTTAGCATAATATTCTTGGGCATATTAATGAATTTCACAAATAAATAGGAATCACATGGTATAAGTATGGATACATAACATACATAGGGAATCCACAAATGAAATTAAAGCAATCAAGGAATGGATAAAAAGCAAGACAATCTCAGCAAAGTCTGACTTACCTTACACCAACACCCAACAGTGTTTTTAACTTAGAATCCTTAGTAGCATGAAACATACACACACACACACACACACACACACACACACACACACACACCACAAACACACATGCACAGGTGTTTATAGCAACACTACCTTTTCAGTAAGGTCGTAAATTTTCACAACTTTCTATTGTTATGCATTAGAGCAACCTTTATGCTATGCATTAAAATATAAAACAGCCATATACTTTAATACAGCCCTTCAACTACCATGGATTTATCTGAAGAAGTAATTGTAGCAACCTTAACAATAGCTCTACTTACCAACATAATTCAGTATATGCTACATATGGTGCTTTGAATTGCATTTGCTCATTTGACAATTACTAGTACTAGGTATCTACTACATGCAAGATACTTGAGAATCAGTAATACTAATACTGAATATTGCATTGCTTCATTGAACCATCATCTTAAAATTGGTTTGGTCTAGAGGTATTAGTAGCTTTACCTGCTCAGTAAGTGATGAGATCCAGTTTTCCTCTAGGCAGATTAGCACCAGAGTACAGATTATCAAGGAATTATATGTTCAGATAATTATTTAAATATATGCATGCATGTGTAATATATGTATATGAATTCATACACACATGCCAGAGGGAAATCTGGATATATATATATATATATATATATATATATATATATATATATATATAATTTTCCTTCAAATAACTTCCTGATAATTTGGAAACATTAGAAATTAAAATTTATTATAGGCTCTTGTGTAAGAAGGGTGTTACAGCTACACAATAGCATGCAACATAGACCCCCATAATTGAAGAAGCATGGTGAAACAGGGCAGGACGTTGACACTAAATGTGGATCTATTTTGAGAGGACTTAGTGAACGCATATGTATTAGAATTTCCCTTGGGAAAGAATTATATTTGTAACCACAAACCTCACTGTATGGATTAAAAAAAAATCTAAGAGAGTATGAAAAGTTCAGTTATGTCTCTGAGGAGATGGAAATGTGTAACATACTTTCTAGTTTACAGAATTCCCTGTCATTTGGGTTTTCTCATAATAAGCATGAATTACATAATTCTCCAATTTGAAGTTCAGATGTTTTGAAGGCAATGGTGTTGGGTATTTCAAGACAATTCTCTTAAGATCCTGGAGCCCACTGAGTCGGCCAGACTGGCTGCCCAGTAAGCTGCACTTACCTGTTATTCTGGATTGGAAATTCAGACTCAGGACACCATGTATAGATTTATTTATTTATTTATTTATTTATTTATTTATTTATTTATTTAAATGTGGGTGTTGGGTATCTAAGCTCAGGTCCTTATACCTTGTGGTAGGTGGATGACTGACTGACTGAGCTATACAGCCAGATCTTGTTTTGCAAAGAGATTAGAATAGAGATATTTTTCTTTTTTAAAGTTTTCCTCAATATCTGTATTCATGTGGAGTCTATAACTGTGGCCATCTTAGGAGAAAGATCTTTGTGGGTGGAATGAAGGATCTTGAAGTAGAACTTAACCCTGAATAAGATGGATTTTAAATCTGATGACAACTATACTTATAAGGAATAAAGGAAAACTATAGAGGAGACCAGGTAAAGGCAAAGTAGAACTGTGCAGTGGCAAGCAGGGACTAGGTAGGTTTGGCAGCTACAGGAAGGACAAGGGTGTGGAATGTTGTCCCCTCGAGAAGGAGCCCTGGTGCTGGTCCCTGAACCCAGACAGCTGGCATCAAAGAAAGTGAGATTAAATTCCCATTCCCATAAATGACCATGCTCTGGTGGAAACTTAATACAGCATCCCTGAGAAATGATTGTATCTAAATATATTATTAAGACATCTTTGCTTTTTTAAAACCAGGACCTGCAATTGGCCAAAACTAAACAAAAATTTTAAAGACAAAAGTCTTACCATTTAAACTGTGTCATATTTGTATAGTGCTGGAGGCAGAGTCTGTAATTGAACTACGTGGAGTCCTTGTATCAAGCGCTGTATTGTTCTCATCCAAGCCATCCACGAAGAAGCTGATTTCTGTCTGATGCACCTGTAAAAGTTATCAGCATCATCAAGCATGGGAACTTCTACTTGGTACTAACAGCATGCCAGAAGCCTTCTGTCTTTCTTTCAAGTCACTTTACTCCTTCTCAACTCCCTTCTTGTGGGAATATTGGAAGTAATCTATTTTAATAGCAAAACAATATCTCTGCATGTTATACATCCAGATATGAATCTACACAGTGAAATTTTCATGCTGTGATGATGTATTCCAGGGTACTTATGGGATCACACTATGCATACCCCATGAGTAACCTGGAATATGTTTTAAATGCTAATGCAATTATGTCCACACTTGAAACTAAATTAATGCATAAGAGGAGAGATATTCAAACCCATATACACCAAAAATGTACATGTGAGTATTGCTCAAGTTTCTAGTACAAAGTGCTTGCCTCATTTCTTTAGGTCCTGGAATCCAGCTGATAATTTTTAAACACACTTTCCTATAATAAAGTAACACAAAAATTTGCCAGTCACATTCTAACCTGGTCAAACAACCTAACAGGACAGGAGAACTGACTTTTCCAATACAGACCTGGAGAATAATGCAAGTTAAGGAATTTGGTGTGGGGAGCTAAATAGTTCTTTACATGCCATCAGCTGCAATGCAGCACTAGCAAAGTAACCTTTGATAGTACATAAACAAATAAGCCTGATTGGGTGCCAGTTTAACATTAATCACAAAGCCAGGTGACCAGCCAGATATGGCCCACTGGTTACAATTTCATGACCTCTAGGTTTACAGCATATAAAAAGGGGCGTACTGTATCATATGATATCTGAGTCACCAATCAGTCACTGTTTGTAGCCAATAACTTCATAGGCTGTGGGTGTACACAATCTTTGATAATTACATACTATTTCAGAATAGGCAGCTGTTTGGCCACCAACTATAATGTCTACAAATAGTCCTTCTGTTGAAGTGTTTGTGACTGTAAAAGGCATTCAAACTATTAAACCAGCACCTGTGGAAAGATAAGGGATGAGCTGAAAGAGGAAGGAAGAAGATGGACACACTATTATGCAATCAAAAGGCTGATGTTAACACTTTCATAAGGTACAACCTTGGTAATGCTGCTGTAGGCTATAGTATGGAGTTTGAAAGATAGTGAAATTAGAATTAGGATCACTGTAGGTTCATTGATAAAATATGTTGATGCACTGCTCTGGTATAGGACTTCAACAGTCAAAAGTGCAATGTACATTGTAGGTGTGAGACCAGAGCATGCAGACAATGTCATTATCTGGCTCACATTGCTGTGAGCCTGACATGGGTCTAAATCTGTTTGTAAGTCAATGTGTATATATGCATTATCTATTTATTTATTTCCTAGTTTTAAAGAATTTCATACATGCATATAATATATTTTGATCAAGCCCACCTCATTTCCTCCCCCAAACCTCCCCCTCCCCAATTAATTTTCCCTCCCAAACTATTTAAAAAATATCTCTATTAAAAGGGATTCGCAACAATGAAGAAAGGTAAAACCTTTACATTATTATGTGAATTCTTGGCACAGGAATATTTTTCCAGAGTCCCCGACTCAAAAAACAAACTCAAGAACCCAGGGGTCAATGCCACAACTGCTTGGTAATACAAACTTCCTACACACACACACACACACACACACACACACACACACACACACACACAAGTAGTCAGACAACATTGCTATTCTTCCTTCTAGTCTACTTCTTTAATTTTAATGTGTTCTTTCTGAAATAGACTGACCCGGGATTGTATGAGACTCCATTTTAAACAAAGCTGAAATTGACCTAAAGTCATACACAGGTTCCTCGTGAGCCTGTGTCTATTTCTCTCTACTGAATAGTAGGGACGCATCTTTTTTTTTTTTTTTTTTTTTTTCCTTGCATCCCATTTTTCTCTGCCTGCTACTATTATTTGGTGGTTGACTGTTATCATTATGAAAGATACAGGCTCTTCCAGTTTGTTATTTGTAGCATTATCTCATGTTTTACAGCATCTTTGCACAACATGCAGGCTACATGAAATATAACTAGCGAAAAGTTCCCGGTGGTATTAATGCATAAAAAAAGAACGTGGTTCCATCTCCACTGTCTTTACCCAGCCCAAAAACTGATGAACAGCCAATTTTCCTTTATCACATTAGCACAGCCATGAGGGAAACACATTTGTTCTCGTCAGTTACACTAAAGATACTATTACCAATCTAACATATACATGTTTTATATCAGCAGTATTCTCAGGGCTTGAGAGAGTCAACAATATATTAACAGGAGCATGACAGTTTATTTAAGAAAAGAAAATTGTCTCTGCAGAGGGACAGAAGTTAGAAATGTATGGCTGAAGCCTAGTGCCACTGCTCTAATAAAGGTGATAATTCTTGAGCTTTCTTTATAGCAGGTAGCACTCCTGTGACAGCTCTGTCATATCATTCAAATAAAAATGTTGCCTTTTACAAGTTTAAGGGTACCTTTATTTTGAGCCAGATAGGAAGCCTGCTTTTGATTTTCTGTATTCTATCTGTCCTCAGTGTTCAGGACCTCCATCTCTTTCTCTCTCTCTCTCTCTCTCTTTTTATCAACTCATCATGTATTTGCTTAGTAGAAGAATTCAGTGTCAGTCAGAGTGAATTCCAGGAGATGTCTTCACTCTCCTGGCACTTTAAAAATGATTCATGATGACCCTAACCTGCTCTCTCCACGCTAACCCCTCCCTACCAACCATCTTTCTATAAATAAGATTAAATCTTTGGTTTTCTGAACCATGTTTTATGTTACAAGATTGTCCAAACTATTTTACAATTCTGATCTGGGGCACCATCGCACCGATGTTGTGAAGACAACAGTGGCCTTTTGGTAATAGCTCATCCCAGTGCTCCGCATGGCCAGTTATTGGGGGTGATGGGGATGTATATGATGGGATTTCTGATTTGTGAAGAGAAAGCCCACAAAGCAAACCTCCTATACCTCTCCTTTTCTGGCCTGGGTAGATGCAAGCAGCCTGCCCATGCTAGTTGATATGCACCGAATGAATAAATTGGCAAATCCAGCAGCATTTGCAGAGGGCTTTAAACCAACCCCCTGGAGGAGTCCACATGCACATGAAAAGAATTGAGAGTCACTCTCAAGCCCTGATTCCATGTGAGTTCCTTGTTCTATTTTAACCACTCAGCTGCTCAACAGTGTGCCCCCATCAGAGACTGGACTCATCCATTTGAGTGGAAGAAAAACAGCAATAAATCCTAGGCACTTTCCACATGTGCTCATGCCTGATTAGTAAGGAATACATTTCAAATGACACAAAAAGAAGGACACATAGGTAGGTATGCACCTGAAATCCCAGCATTTGTAATGCTAAGTAAGACAGAAGGATGGTCACAAGGTGTAGGTCAGCCTGGACTGACTATGTGGCATAACTCTTAAAACCCCCATCATACATTTAAGTTTATATGTAAATGTATAGTTGAAATGATTTTTTTTTTACATCTGGGCTAACAATGCTCAACAGCCACAGATTATCTACCAAAAAAGATCAACACTACAGGCATGAGAAAGAAGCCTTCTTTTGAGTCAGATGTTGGTCAGGTTGTCCAAGAGACTCCAAAACATCACAGGCTATTGTTTCTATTATCCATGGCTTCCTACTGTAAGTGAAAGTAAGCCTCTATTACAGAAGACACCATGCACTTTGGACCTGGGACCTAGAGGACACAAGCTGAATCTCCTTCCTGTGGGTACTTCCATGGTACCAGAATGTTCCATGCAAAACTTCCAAAGGAGGGAAACAGCTAACAATATCCACCTGAGATGCTTATGAACCATAACAATGACCAGTGCCGTAGAATAGTCATAAGCGTGTAGCGGCACATGTACCCACAACTCTCTGACTGAACTAACAAGAGGGACACCATGCCAAGTACAGAAAACCTAGTCAACTACCTGGGGCTAGTGAAGTCATAGATTTTGGAAGGGAATCTACAACCACCATTTTATTAAACCAGCATAATGTCTAATGACATCATCTATTTGTCCTTATTCCCACGGATAAGTGTTGGCCTCAGTTCCTCCTCAAGGAAACTTCTCTTTGCTGTAGACAGAGACCATTGCAGAAAGCCACAACTAACCAATCATACTGCCGAGTTGTGAAGCCCAAATGGATAACAACCACAGAGAACTCCCACATGTAAGTCTTAGAGATCATAGCAGAAAAGGGGATGGAAAGATTGTTAGAACCAGAAGAACAGTGAGTTTGATGTGGGACTGTGTCTTTTAGTAACACCAAAAGTTACAGTCATAAAATCTCACCAACATATCTGCCTAAACAAGATCTGAATTGTAGCAGGCTTTCTTGGACTTCCAGCCACCAAATCATGACATGGAGACTCATTATTAAGTACAAATCCTCAGCCTTAGCTTAGGCTTGTTTTTTTAGCTAGCTCATTTTAACTCAAATCAACCCATTTTTATTAATCTATGCTCTAACCCGAGGCTCATTTATCTCATCTCTTTACTGTTTGTTCATCCTGTTTTTCTACTTCCTCACTATCTGGCTGGCTGGCTCCTGGCTGACTAGCTCACTCCCTTTTGCTCTCCACCCACCAGCCCCACCTACCCCTCCTCTAACTAGCTATTGGCTATTCATCTTATGATTAGACCAATGAGATACCTTAGGCAGGCAAGGTGAAATAACAACACAGTTTTACATAGTTAAACAAATGCATTATAAACAAATACAACACATCTTTACCTAGTTCAACAAAGATTCTATTCCACAACACTGAACGTATAGGCATGCCAACACATACACATGAACAGATTTTTAAAAATTAAATAAATTCCCATATCAGTGAGCAATTATTAAAGGAAAAAATACAAAAAATCCTTCTAGAATAGAACACAGATAGTCAAGAAATGCCATCCACACACCACTCTTTCAATAGATTACATGGGATAAGAGAATATTTTTAACCTGTTCATTAGGTAATGTTTGAAACACTATAA